GAGATGTAGGTTCTTTTTCAAAGTTATATCTTAGTATATACGTATAATAAAGAACTGATGTTTATCAAAAAAAAAAAAAAGTAATTTTTCAAATTTAACAAAGAATATAAAATAGTTTTTTAGTAATAAATAATAGAAATTAATAGCAATTCTCAAAGCTATAATTTAGATCTTGATAATACTCAAATAAATAATTATAATATTATTTAAAAAAATAATACAATTTAGATATTTTACTAAAAGTTAGTTTCAATTAAGATAACTTTCAAAAAAATATAAATTTTCAAAATATTTTTCAAGAGAATATTTTTAATCAAAACAATTTTTTTAAAAAAAAATTCTATCAAAACAGTTTTTAAAAGAATAATTTGAATTCTAACAATTTTCAAAAGAATTTTGTTATATTTTAAGACAACAAACTCTAGTTTTTTTATTTTTAAGGCAATAAATTTTAACTTATCAACTTTCAAGACAATAAACTTTATATTATCAAGGCTCAAGAAAACAAATATCAGTATATTAAATATTTTGATTAATATTTTATTAATGTAATTGAAAAAAATAGAAGAATTGTATCATCTAATAAAAATTATAAATAATTGCTTTTGCTTGAAAATCAAAAAAGATTATAGGAAAAAGAATTAATAGATAATGTAATAAATTTATAATTTTTTTTTTTAAATTATATATTCAATATATATATCTTTTTAAAAAATAATAATATTATACTGTAAATAACAAGTTAATGAATAATATTTTTTGCAACAGCAGCAACCTTATTTTTTAAAAAATCAAAATGAAGAAAAAAAGAATATAATAACAAGTTTACTCAAATGATAGATATAAGTATTTTAATTTATAAAATTTAAAATGAAATCTAATTAATTTTTTTTTTTAATAATCTAAATAATATATTTTACTATTATTAAACAATTGTTTTTGAAATTTATCTATTTAGATTAAAGTATATTAAAAAATATTCTATATAAATATCTTGAGGTAAACTTTTTTAAATATATGTTTAATTTGAGCTTTAATTAGTTTACAAATTTATTTTATGGTAAATGATATATAATAAGTATAAATGAAATAATTCAAGTATATTTTTTATATATTAATTTAATTCAAATCTAATTAAAACAAAAGTTTTTGACAAAAATAAAAAATTACTAAGATGCTATATTACAAAATATTCAAATACAATATGATAAGTATTTGATTCAAAATAATTGCCTTTTCTAAAAAACAGTGCTTTACCAACTACTATTATAATATGAAAAAAGCCCATGAAAATGTCTGAATATTATTGTTTACTTTTTCAATTAATGGCAAAGACATCTATCGAATAATTTTAATTGCAAGATCAACTTTTTCTGAACATTGGTTTTCACTTTAAGCAATGAACATTATGTGGTTATACTTGCTGTGTATAATATTTTTTAAAATTCCTGATCTAAAAATATTATTTGTTTTGAAAAGTAGATAAAATATCATATTAAGTATTTTCTCATAAATAATCTATTAAATTGTTAAAATTATTTATTTTAAATAACCATTAATAATAATATCATTATTAATTATCTAAAAGAAAAAATATTAGATTTTTACGAATTATTTTTAAATGATAAAAACGATTCAGAAATAAATTAGTTAATGTTTTTTTTTCGATTCTTTTAAATTTATTTGCCAAGATTGATCGATTAGAGTAATGGTGTTTTAAATAATTGATACATTAAAAATTTAAAAAATTTAGGTAAATCTATCTCTATTAACAGAACTCGTATCAATAATAGAATTGAATGATTAAATGGATTTTTTATTTGAAAAATTAAAATTAAATTAAAAATACAAATAGGCTGTACAGAAGATTATTAATAAAGCTAAACTCATGAAATTTTTGTTAAAAGGTCAAAGCGAAAGTGTTTACGTGAAAATCAATTTGATCACAATCGCTAGTTTTTGATCCAGGATCATAATCGACTTGCGACGCGAAGTTAAACATGCATTAAAAGTATACATGTTTATTCGATATAATACATTAACAATTTATCCATCTATTATCCATTCATCCATCCAATATATCATCACTATCAGCGTCTTTTCCATTGACCGCTTTCTCCACAACCTCGAATACCTCATAATCTTCAGTATTAACAGTCTTATCATCAAAAGGCATGACATTCGGCATGTAAGTCTTATGCTTGAACGTGAGTTTGCGGCCTTGCATCAACAGATCCAAATTTCCAAATGATGGGCCATTAGACCTCCAACAGTTTAATGCATATTCATAGCTTTCAGGATTTGTCAGCCTCCCTATTTTACCCTGAATGTCATTCGTACCATTGGTGCCGCCTCCTTGCGTGAAAGAAAACACAAAGGCTTTCTCATCTTTCTTGTATTGTGGCCACATTACGCTGTTCCAAATTCCTGGGTTATAACCGCCCACAAAAATATCGTGATCTTGAAGCTTGAATAAGGTGACGGTACTTCGTTTCCCGTCGCATTTCGAATGAAATGTTTTTGCACTAAATCCGTCCCTACTACCTCTCGCTAATAAATAAAACTTATATGGAATCTCGGATGTGGAATACGGTTGAAACGTGTGCTTCTCATTTAGTCCGTCTCCGCCAGCTTCTTGATTGGTTGTCAGATCTTTACGATCAATCCAACTTGCAATCATTGCTGCATGAGATGAACTCATAATGGTCGATATGATCGCTCCTCGACTTGGCAATTTCATTTTCATTAATTTTTTGCTTTTCTGCGAACCCGTCGCATTTGCACTTTTCCCCAATAACTCCGGAAAATAAACCGAAATCCTTTCGTAGTCCGTGCCCAGGACCCCTTTGAAAGGTAAAACCTTTGTACGAAATTCGTTGGCATCCATATTATGAAATCTAATGTGTTCTATGCAGTTTTTCAGTATTTTACCCAACGACGCATGATTCTCTGCACTCCAATTCGAAGGATCAACAGAAAGGTTTGGCATCCTTGAGACCCCCCATTGAAATACTTTCTCCCAAACCTTCACCTCCTCCATTTCCAATTCGTCATCTTTAATTATTGCAATAAGCGCCTCTTCGCTTATGGTAAGAAAATCCTCGGAATCAAATAAGAGATAAGGGTATTTTTTAATACGATCGATGCTGAAGTCTTGTAATTTTCGAATAGATTCCACACCGAAGGTATCGCGATAAATTAAAGCCAGGTTCTCTTTTAGCCATTTGATCTTTTTAATCAACAGATAGTCTTGTGCATAATGAAGGAATTCTATGATTCCAAGCTCGTCGGCGGCCATGACGCAATCAAATATAATCGATGGGTCTAGATTGTCCTCGAACGTCTTTCCTCCGTATATGTACCTAGAAGATTGTGAGAGCAACGAGTTGAACTGAACTGTTAACCAAGGAATTTTGCATAGATGCTAGTTGCTTTGAGGGAACGAGTGAATAATTGATTCCATCTTTCTTTTCCGCTATCCACTTACCCCAGGATGATCTCAAAAACCTCTGGGCTAATGTTAGGCTTTCTAAATTGTATGATGCCGTCCTTTTTACGAATCCAAATTTCCGACATCGAAGTGGAAAAATAAGTTGATCTAGCGCGAAGTATGTTTGAGTGTACATGAAAAGTTCTCACGTCTGGTTCCTCGCCAGCCGTTATCACCATATCGTGGTCATTATTGTCTTTTAATAGTTTTATCAGGTCCTTTGCTAGAATTTCGTAAAATTTAGATTGGTCTAAGGCCATTGTGTTGACGAGGATAAGTGAGAGTCGAAATCTTTTTTACTGGATGTTTAAATATAAAAAAAAAAAAAAATAGTCTAGTTTCGGAAAACTTGACGTTCCCTCCAATCCTGTAGGCGCAAACACGTGTAAAAATAGCAGGCGTCAGAAAACACTATGTAATGTTGTTACACACGGACAGATTGCCAAAATCATAAACATACAAAATAAGAGTTTATTCGAGCGATTCACCGGGACGACAACAATGACAATATACTACGTATACATCATTTCTCTTACATCAGTCGATAATGCCCTACTTTGATATTTACATCAATCAAACATGCCGATCTCTCGAATTACCTTTTCGCATTCAGCATTTGTGTTGCATCCCGAGAGATTAAAAACAAAATCGTCTTTGTGCCATAAATATCTTTCATCTTTGCCACAATCATGTGCGAGGGGTAGAGCATTCAATGATCGCTACAAGGTTTTTTTATACACGTGGTCAATCAGGTTGATCGGATATATACGTATGAAACATTGATACTCACGAAAGGAACGAAATGAATTTTATCAACTGCCTCAATGACCTCGTAATCAATCAACATCTGCATGACAATCCCTTCCTCCTCAAACCTTTCGAAAAGTTCTCGCTTGTGAACGGTGTTCAGAAAATTTCTCGACCACTCGGTATTCTTTATGAAAAACGAATTTGCATTAAGACCATGACAATCATATCCAATCAACATCTGCGATGCGCGAGTTACGTTTTGCAAAACGTAATTTGCAATTTGAACTGGATTTGACACGATGAGATACTTTTCATAAAATAATAATAATAATGATGATATAATGATAAATGTAATATTAATAGATTGTGGAGATGATTGTGGTTAGTGAAAGGCGGGATAAAGGATGGGATTGGAGGTGTTTGATTGTTCGCGTAGGAGTTGGATGAAAGAAAAAATAAAGATCTCACTGAATCCATGAACCAAAACCAATGTGAAGAAGGAAATTCATCCATTGCCTCTAACAGAGCCGGTATTTTCGCCCAAGACTGGGTATGTATGTATCAATTAAAATGGTTTTCATGTTTTCAATAAAAAGAAAAAAAAATTTTTTTCTGATGTCAAAATTCGGAAACTCACCGTCGACCTCGTCCAATCCTTGACATCTTTGACCGCAACCTCGTATCCATAAAAATCGGCATATCTCTCTTTATTCTCCAATGCTTTCTTTGTGATGTTAAAAAATTTCTTTGAGGAAAATCCGCTAATCGTCTCACTTGGACCCCTTGGGCCTTGAGAAAAGTTGTTATTGTCAATAACCGTAACGATGACAATCAAAGGATGAGTCTTCCACCACGGATCTCCTGATACCACGGATTCGGGGAAGGGGCAAACGTGGTCCAGCAAGAAGAATGAGACAAATACTAGGAGCATGAAAAGTATTGAAGAATAGAAATAATATGCCGGCGGTTTTTCGCGTGATGTCATTTTCTTATGGTGCGCGATTGTGAGTGTTAAGTGTGAGTGTATTTTTTTTATCGACGAAATACGTGATAAGCAAGTGACCGTTTGGTAGAGAAGTAGAAAAGTAGAGAAGAAGGATGAAGCACGTAGCAAACTCGTTCGTTAATTTTCTTTTTTTTAAACGGCGAATTGGCACTCCGGCGAGCTACGTCATAATCTTGAACAATCGCATCTGGCTAGCGCGGTTTTTTATCACAATTTTACAGAGTTTGTTGGCAAGTTTCGTTAATTCTTTCACCTTTCCTCATGCAATTGGTCATCGATAGACTATCGATTTTCTCATGACAGGGGCAGAGGACGCAGCATTTAATTATTCTTGCATATCCACATTATTGACAATTTGATAACAACGTCGATTGTTCTAAAACAGTAATTAAAACAAAAAACAACCTAATGATAATAATAATAATTACAAGTTTTTTATTCAGTGATTCAAAAAATTTTTTTAAATATTAAATATGATTATTGATTATTTCGCTTGGTAACGTGTATCGTACCGGATTAATTTCACACCACCCCTACTAATCAACGCCAATCTCCTGCATCTCAACCTTCACCCATCATGCTATGTTTACCTTTCTTTTTTACATTAACGTTTTTTTATTCATAACCGCATACACTTCATATTCCTCCACCAGGAAATGATTAGGTTTTCCCAGCGGATCGGCCTCTTCATCAAATTCCAGGTAGCTCTGATCGTTGGCATCGTAATTTTCAACACAATTATCTTTAAAGCCTTCAATATCACTATGGCTATTATTAAAGATCAACCCACTTAAAATGTCGGGGCTATTGATCTTATCTTGAGAATCGATTTTATTGATATTCAGGTCGCCACTAAAAATGCTAACCGCAAAATCACTGGTACTTTTATTAAATCGATGAGTCATGTGTCCAACTTTATCTTCACCACTGTTAAAACTACTATCGCTCTTCTTGTGTGCCATGCTAGGACCCGCGACCGTCGGATTATTCTCGAAAATTTCTTCGTAGCTTTTCTTGTAATTTTTGTTTTTTTTATGAGAACCTTTCCCCGTGCCATTGTCCTTGAGTAAGTCCACCATGTAACACTCGGGCTTGCACTTCACGATTCCGTCTTTCAATACCAAATCTGTGGTCCCGAATGCTGGACCCGTGGATCGATGCAGGCTGATGGCATACTTGGATAACTCTGCCCTGCTGAACACCGATTTTGTTTTCACCGGTGTAGTGCTCACTATCAAATTACGATTTATACTACCATCATTGCCTATGACAATCTTGTCATGATCGTTTTTTTCCAAGTTCGTTCTCTTTTCCGAGTCATCGGTGCGAATGGAAAATATAAAACTATGATGGCATTTCTCGAACTTCCGAATCCACGGTGATTGCCAATTCAAAGGGTTATACCCACCAATTATCATCCCCTCGATGCCCTTGATCTTGATCACGGTGACCGTGGGCCCTTGGTTATCGCATCGTTTGTGAAACATCTTATCGCTGAATCCGTGCCGAGATCCCCGGCACAATAGTTTGAATTTGTAAGGAACGTTAGAAATGCTGTAGGAAGCATCTTCGGGTGATGATAAATCTCTTCCATCGATCCAACCGGATATCAGAGCCAGTTGAGTTCTGGAGATGATGGTCGAGTTTTTTTGAGCTTTATAGGAGACCAGTGACGAAGCTTCATAACAGACTTTTTTTTTTATTGCCGGCTTTGGCGGTATATTTGTTGGGAAGGGGGCAGCAGGATCTGGAGGTGGGGAAAGGATTATTGGTAATGTGGAACGAGTTACCAAAGCTTCCGGTGAAGTTGTGTAAAATTCTGGTGAGATGGGTCTAACTATGGGGGAGGTAGAGCGAGTTACAGAAGTTACTCGTATTTCTGGTGTTAAGTACGTGGGCGATGAGAGCGGGACGATCGATTTTGAAGAGGAAACCTTCGTCTCATTGCTTGGTGATACGGTCCGTAAATCGTGTTGACGTTTCGAATTTTCAGGTGTTGGATTCAAAGGGACCATGGAAACGTCGCCAATATTTTGGAATCTAGTTATTTTTTCGTATAATTCGACTCTGATCATACACGTAAAGTTAGACAAGAGGATGAATGGTGACCGGCCGGTCACAATTTGGAGAAGCATAAAAAGCGAATTTCCTTTAAAATGATGACTTACGGAAAGATGGATTTGTACGGTCGAACTTTTTCGTTAAAACCTTCGGAACTCATTTTCTCAAATTTTATCAGTGGCAAAATGGCTGACAATGTTCTTTGTAAGCAAGCAATATTCTCTGGACCCCAATTACCGACATCCCTATTGGAAGTGATCTCCGGATTCTGTCTTATACCCCATTCCAAAACCTTTGCCCAAATCTCGCTTTCCTCGAGCTGCACATAATTTTTTTTCAACAGGGAGATGATCATCTCCGGAGTTAAGGTATGATATTCTGGAGAGTCGAAGAGGACGTGGGGTTGAGTGAAGAGTATGGACTGAGTGAATTGATGAAGTTTTTTGAAGGTGGTAGTATTCTTGTAAAGTAATGAGTAGACACGGACAAAATTCTGCTGAAGCCATTTAGAACGGTTATGGATCAGATATATTTGAAGGTGTTCTAGCAATTGATAGAGCCACAAGGTGTCGGCGGCAAAGAGATACTCGATGATTTTTTGAGTATCGGATTCTGCCTCTAGATCTATCCTTCCACTATACATAAATCTGAAACACGAAGAGAAAATAGCAATTGAAACATGATGTGCATATGTTTAAAATGCGCATTCACTCAACTTACTTCAACATGACCCCGAATGTCTCCGGAGAGATATTCAATTGATACCATTCTTTATAATTTCCCGCGGCAGCTTCATTGTTGGGTTTCGTATTATTATTATTATTATTATTATTATTATTATGGTTGTTATTCACATTATTCATATCATTATCGTTGTTCATATTATTGTTATCGTTAACATTTGCTTTGTCATTTGACACGTCCCCACTGTGGGGGGGTGCCACAAAAACCGGTGAGGTTGGGGTCGCCAAAGAATGATTGTTATTATTTTTATATTCTTGTATGGAAGGTTTGCTTGACAATACAGCACGAAAATATAACGACCGAGCACGCAGGATATTAGTGTGAGCTTTGAAGCCTTTGGTGTTGGGTACTTCGCCGGCGTATATTATGATGTCGTGATCATCGGACTCGTCAAGTAGCCAACCGAGGTCCCGGGAAAGTCCTGATAATAAATCCAATGTCATTTCGTTTTAGGAAGAGGTAAACGTGAGATGTGTTGTGGAGGAGAAGATTCTGTATTTGAAGAGAAAAAATTTTTTAGTCAAAAAGAGAACTAGATGAATATACATACTTAAGAATATATTATAATTATACTAAATTTGTATGGCATGACATAGTAAGAAGAGTCCGTGATGTACATCCGAACCGCTATTGACAAAAAAAGAATCATTTTTCGTCTTCATTTAAACTGGAGTTTATGTTAATATTTATCACGTACTTTACGCACTAGACGTATTTGGATTTCATAATTATTATTATCATACTATATTCACATTTGTATTTTACGAAAAGCGTTGCATTAGACACAAGATTCAAAAACTTTAATTTTGCGCGTTACATATGCAGGTGAGATTGGTTATCGCTTTTATTCTCGTACAAATAAGGAACCATATGCAGTTACCTAAAGAAGGAGCGGTAGAACCATATTAATGTGATCACGGTTATGCTCGATGGGATGCATTGTTCAGCAACGTCACCACCAATAAAAAACTCTACCACTATACTGTAGAAGATCACGGTAAAGTAATTCTTTTGGATAGCGCACAAGAAAAGAAAGCTCGTGTTTAAGAGATCATGTGGCAGAACTGTTAGGTGATAGAAAACGTCTCGCAACGAACATTTGATGACAACAAGGCATCAAATCTTTTGGTCTAGTCATATTAATGAAGATAACGACACTACCGATGGTTAAGTGCTTGTACCTGAGATCAGCTGTCAAATATTTAGAAATGAACAGACTTATCATTTTATTATGGTTGTGAAGAAGATATAAATGAGGTCATGAATGAAATTTCGCATCATACAAAATTCAAAATTTTAGACGACTTAGCATGGTTCACCGTGTATATGTATACGATTCCTTAGTACTGTACTCAAGATTTATTTATGGTAATTATGAAATTCGTTGAAAAATGACCGAAAAGGATATTTGCGATAATTAATGTTTAAATACAGTATACTGCATTAGTGAAAGTAAGTTAACGTATTAATACGTATTTTAAAATTAAATATTACATTAAAATCTTTATATATGGTTAAAAATGTTATTTGATATTTTTTAAATAAACTTATTATCAATATCCTTGATTTGGATCAATGGATTTATAGTATAGTAATAATATTTTATAAGTTATCAAAAAAAGATAGTTATAAAAAATTTGTTATTCTTATGTGTTGATTTATTGGTTTTCAATAAATATCGTATCTGATTAATTAAAACAATATTCAAATTTAGTTATCTTGTATAAATTAAACTTTAAATTTTTTACTAATTAAAAGTTAAAACAATTTTAATAACAATAAAAAAATTATATAATAATGATTTTTAATTTAATATTTTAATTTAAAGTTTTAATAATATATTTTAATACAATATTTTATAAATTTAAAAATATAAAAAACAAACAAACAAAACAAATCATTAAATTTTATAAATTTTATACAAATTATATAAAATCAAATAGAAATTTTTAGTAAAGATATTATAAATACAAATAAAAAAAATATTATTATATTACATAATTAATACTTTTAAAAAACAATAAAAGTTTAATTAAAATAAAACATAAGTTGATTTTTATAATTTTTTTATATAATTTTTTAATATATACATAAATAATTTAAAATTGATAATAAAATTTTATTTTTAAAAAATAAATTTACTTGATATAAAATTTGTTAATTCATTATTAAAATACTTAATTAATAAATTGAAATTAAAAAATATATATTAATTATTATTAATTTATAAATCATTTAATTATAAAATAAAAATATTTGGTTTTTTTTTAAATTATAAACACAAAATATTTTATTAATCTTATTTATTATTTATTATTATTATATTAGCAATTTTTTATATAAATTATCTATAAATAAATAAATAAATTTTTTATTTGTTATAATTGAATAATAAAATTGATATATTTATTTATAAAATTATTTTAATAAGATATTTCAAAATATTATATAAATTATCCTATTATATTTTTTATAAACTTTTATTCTTATCTACTATCATAGTTGACTCATATATCCAAAGTGGATTCAACTTCACTAAATACATTTCCAAACTAATTTCAGATCTTTTTAACTTTCTCCTATCCAACACTGAATAGATAATCATAGCTGCTCGGAGCCACTTAACAAGATATATTGTTTTAAAATTTTTTTTTCAATATTAGTCTAGTGATTACTGTAAGCAAGCTAATATTTAACTTGTTATACTAATACATATAAAAGATGTTGTTTCTTTTATAATGTATATCTATTATTATACAATAAATAAAGAAATGATGTTTACCTACAAAAAAAAAATAAATAAAATAAACTCTTATTCTTTATATTATAATTATATTATTATTTTTATAAATTTCTATTAATATATGGGCGCGAAGATTTATAAAAATATTTAAAATATTTTCAGCTTTACAACTAAAACTTCCAAAATTACACTCATGGATATATCATATAATTTCATCTATTCGAAAGTATGGAATAATTAATG